GACCATGGGCGTGTGTAATCTGAATCTGCATGATTTTACGTAACGGTTGAGTTACACCAATTGTATGATTCTGCAATACTTAGCAGATTTAGTCTCGTATGATTGGTCGCTGAAGTGTATTTACGTTGCACTTAACCGTCAATAAGGATCCCCAGAAGTGTGGTATGTGATGCAAGAAAGACATTTGCACAGATCATAACATTTCGAAAATCGGGACCAGCTTGTCACTAGTTGTTGCGGAAGAGCGACCGTTATGGGAAATTTTACTACGTAAAAGCATGTTGGGCGTCTTGACGTGAAACTGCCATGATTCGGTATTTCCCATATTCTTACGGTACAGACCAAGCAGGGAAGTGTGAGTATAAATATGTCAATGAACTATATCTCGGAGTACTGGAGCCTGTTTCAGTTCCTTGGACGAGCACGGACGCTATAAACCTGTTATATCTAGTAATCAGCCCGCCACAATGGATGAAAATCATTCATATTCATTGTATTTTTCACTCAAGTAATTCTTTCTGTGGAGTAAAACAAACAAACAAAATCACAAAGAAATGACAAGAATATGGCGAGGTTCTGGGTGTGCTAGTCTGTGGAACAACGAATCTCCAGACTTGCGCACAGCCTATGAGAGCCGCCGACAGATCCCAGTGTTGACAAACAAAGATAATCCGATGATGATGGTGTTTTGGCGGGAATCTGTACAAGAGCGCAAGGCTTGAAAGAGCCTGTATGTAATATATGGTGTTTGGGGAGTGATGGTGCGGTTACCTCGAGGTGATGACACACACCATTTTTCACTCTTTCTTGGTGGTGCGTCTTGATTTTTTCCAACACAAATAGAAGTCGATATCAGGAACGTATTCAGAAGGCAAAACCATCCACGACCGCCATTTTCACCGCGACAAGATTGATGTATACATTTCTCATACATTAGTGACTACCACTTTCCGTCACGATTTCTTTAGGGTGATTCTTACAACACAAACAATACAAAAAAAGAGGGAAACAAGAAAATATAACAATAAATATCAAACGTAAAAAGGGGGGCATAAGTGAGCAAATTACACATCCAGATAACTTAAACCCGAGTGTAAATCACTACACGTTATATTGAAATTAACAAGCCCTTTGCCATAGTCGAGCAGGCAGCCCCCGGGCAAGGGATTTGAAAGGGTTAAAATAATAAATTCAAGGCATTGTGTGACTCCGCCGCCGCCGCAACTGCCGACTCATCCTTCGTAATGGTGAGAGAGAAGCCACCTGCACTCGTCACCCGTACTCTATCCGCGTTCGTCCTTTCACCGTATTTCGTATTTCACCGTCCTTTCGCCCTCGGCCTTCGATTCGATGTGCTCGCCCCCGTGTTCGGCAGGGCGTCTTTTCCTGGGTCGCTTTTTCCCTCCATTTATTCATTCTTTCATTGCATTTTGTTTGTGTACTAAGAGTGCTGTAGTTCTGTCCGCCTCGTTCTGACCGTCAGTCGATGAGATTCAGTAATATTTGGAAAAAGGGTTTCAATCTATTTGTCAGGATGAACGCTTGGTGTTGTTCATTTTTCGTATAAAAGCATTTTTTTGTGAGAAGGAGAAAGAGTAGAGGAAAAAGAAGAAGAAGAAGGAGGAGGAGAAGAAAACTCACATATAAACTGCAAGAAAAGTAAACATATCTATTAATAAAAATGAAAAAAAAGATGAACGGGACTACTTTCAGTATCACCAAAAGGGTTTTCGATTTCTCCTTC